CTGAACACTACATGTTTTGTTTCCATTACTGCCTGGATAGGGGGATTATCCATGAATATGTGAACACACACAGTATAGAAGTTTTCAACTTCTCAAAATATTTCCTCGTCTTTATGCAGAATTTACGCGTGATGTAATGTAATCTGAAGTACAATAGAGAAGATTTGTAGCTCAGATGGATGATTTGCAATTATTTGTATTCTCTGAGCTGGTTGATCGTTTAATTACAGAGAATTTAAGCCAGTTCATTTTATGCTAGAACTTCCATTGAAAAGGGATGTTGTCCAGAAGGAGGACAACGAAAGCTCCACAAAAGCTCCACCAACCACCAGCTCAGAGAATACGACTAATTGCAAATCTGAAGTATATGATGCTGTGGTGAGAGCTGTCTGCTCTAGCCGAAAATTAGTAGACAGTAATTGCCGTTAATGTTTACGTCTCAAATATTGGTCATGAGAAAAAAAAGAACAAAGACTAACTGACACAACAACCAATCGCAGCACACTTTCTTTGCGTAGGCGGATACAATTAGCAGATAGCAGATGGTCTGACCTTCAAGAAACAGTCACAAAGAGAAACAACCAATCAGAAGACTGTGTTTGTTTGCTAACAATAATCTATAATAATGTATATGAAAATCTATAAATATCTGCTTATTTCCCTAGTAAAAAATCTGTTGGCTGGCCCTTGTCTTCTGTTATAACAACACTAGTGACTAGTGTCCAATGAAGTTACCCACTACAATCCTACATGAGGTCAATCGCGAGCCAGAATAGCTGGCTCAGTGGTAACGTGTCTGACTGTAGTATTCACTGGGTGACGCCGGTTCGAATCTCAGAAGGTGGGACATGTACTATTCCTTCAATGTGGTTGCTGATATACCTTGCTGACTGACTGGCGAGTGCCAACTAGCACGAAACCTAGGTCTAGGCAAGGCGTCCTCTGCTGCCGATTGCCTCCAACTATCTGAAAGACGATGAAATTAAGTGCACAAAGATCCATCCATAGAGCATTCAGAGATTAGTTATACTGGACGATAGCCACTGTAGCAAAAACTATCGGCTTTCTTGAAGGGTAACATTCACCTTTATAAGATGAAATTAAATAATACTTCAAAAACTTGATAGAAATTCTTCTAATAAACGTGAAGAAAGCCCAGAACGACTAATGTCTATCACGATGATAATATGAACTCATGCTTTAATTACTCTCTGCGGATTATTCCCAACTGGCCACAACCTGAAAAATGCAAGAATGCAAACAGTAATAGCGATGAAGACACATCGTTTTCGTCATAACAAGGGGTAAGAGTCATTGAAACTGAGTATAACATAATGACCGCTTCTCATGTTTTAACACGAATGATGTCCTTAAGTGTCTTCAATCTCTCAAACCTCCTCAGTCCCTTGGTCCTGATGGAGTTCCTGCTGCTATCCTTAAGAAGTGTGCTGACATCTTATGTTACCCACTGACCGACATTTTCAATAAATCTTTTTCCAAAAGTATTATTCCTGACTCATGGAAAAATATCAAGGTTGTTCCAGTGCCTAAATCAACAAGTGGACCTACTGTTAAGTTTCGACCGATTGCTATTACCTCACCTTTTTTAAAAGTTATGGAAAAACTTATTTTACTTAATCTTGAACTCTCTTTAAAGCCTTTCAATGACCCCAACCAGTTTGCTTATAAACATAGTAGGTGTACCTTAGATGCCGCTGTTGTTCTTTATTATAATATAGTCTATCGTTCAGATAGAGGAGCTAAACACGTTCGGTGTGCCGTCCTTGATTACACATCTGCATTTGACTCTGTGCTTAGATCTCTCTTGCTAAGTAAGATTGCTGCAACACAGAATGAGAGCTGGATAAATAAGTGGTTTTATTCCTACTTTTCTGATAGGAAGCAGTACATCGTCTACAATGGAAAGTCCTCCACTACCTCACTTACTTTAGCTGGTGTTCCTCAAGGTGCTGTTCTTTCTCCTTTTCTGTTTTCTTTTTTCTTACATGACTTGCCCCATTCTGATGTAACCACTTTTCTCAAGTGTGCTGATGACCTCTCTGTCTCTATGCCTGTCAACTCTCAGTCAGATTGTTCCAAATTAAATAACTTTCTGTCGGAAATTAGTCAGTGGTCCTCTTCAAACGGTCTTAAACTGAATCCGTCTAAATGTCAGGTAGTAAATTTTACTTTCAGACGAAAACGTGACCTACAACAACTAGCTAGCTCATATGGTCCCACTATCATTGACGGCACAGAGGTTGAAACTACATCTAATGTCAAGTACCTTGGACTGAGTATTTCCTCCGATCTTTCCTGGTCTTCTCATATCTTGCTAGTTACTAGAAAGATGTTTCGCTTAACGTTCTACGTTAGGGAGTTAAGGCAGTCTGGTATAAAGCATTCCTTGCTTTCTCAGTTTGTCAACTCCTGTATTCTACCCATCCCTCTTTACTGCTCCCCATTAATCTATCCTGGACTACTTAAGAAAGATTTTGCTTTGCTGCGTAGGGCACTAAAAGCTGTTAGTAGGGCAAGTGGGATATCATTAAACCGACTGGTTAACACCATTGTGGATAGACATATAATGTCATGTAAGAAACTAGCGAATTCTATATTGTCAGACCCCGAACACCCTCTCTATACGCAGCTCTCTCATTGCATTTTATCTGGTAGAACTAAAAGCAGCTATAAGAGGCTATATCCTAGGACTACCAAGTACAAACATCCCACAATACCTTATCTGGCACAGCTGTTATGTGATGAGAAATCCGTTAGGTATGACACGATCAACTTACCGAGGCACTCTAACTGACAAATAGTTCCCATTAGCTTTTCTTCTCCTTTCTTTGTTACTATTATATTGTTGCTCACATATTCTATTGCACACTAATTTTATATATCATATTCCTGTGGTGCATTGTTTAAATATGTGAATGCAATGCTGTTCTTTTTTATTTCTTTTATTTATCTTTTTTTCTTTTTGAAGTTGTTGCTTTTTATTTTTAAAATCTTATAAAATTTATGAGGTGATTAGATGCAATATTGTAATGCACGCTGAAAATTCCATATCTGTACCACAAATACTGTTTGGAATAAAGCTATTATTATTATTTCAAAGCCTTGAAAGAGGTACGAGAAAACCTCAATATTATAATTATTATCATTAAATTCCACAAGGATGTATGCAACTTGTTAGGTAATTAAGAATGATGGAAGGGATTGATTATTTATATGGAAGTTAAAAGACGAATAGACTCGGACAGAAAACGACAGATTTGGGAAAAGAGAAATGTTGGGTAAAAAATAAAGTTAAACTAGTAGCAGTATAACAGCATGGTGGATTACGTAACAGCAAAAGAAAAGGGGAAGGGTGAGTTCTGTTTAAATGAAACAGTAGATTTGGCTGTACTCTTTCTAGTGAAACTTTGCGTCTGCCCCGAAATTTCTGTTGAACTCTGTCTTTTTATCACCCAAGCTTATTCGTTCGCTCATCATGTAAACTGCCTAACATTTAACCTGTTTTAATTATTTAACCACTGACATCCTACCAGACGTATCTTGCTTAATATTAGTGCCAACAAATTACGCCTTATGCCAATCGCGAGAAAAGATATCTCCAAATATTTAATGCAATTTAATGTACTTCCTTGTGTTATTCAGGTTCTACCAAGTTGAGAAGCACATTCTTAAAATAAATAACTTCAGTCGGTCACAGCAATCAGACACATAGTTTATTCCATACAGAATGTATCCACTTCTCCATCCATAGACGGAGGGCGGAGGTGGATAAATTCTCTTCGACTCCATTCTGGTTTTCTTAACAGGAGCATTTCGAAGGCGGAAATAAAAAAAGACTCATAGAAGGTAGGAGGTATAAGTAATCCACAACGGGAAACTTACGGAATCCTTCGAAGAAGTGAGGACAGGAGTAAGACAAGCTGGCTGGCTGCCTACTATCGCCAATGATTAACTTCCTGATTGCAGTAGATTGGATAATGCGACAGACAGCGGGCTGGGCAGCGAGGAAACAGGCATAAAATGGACTCACACAAAAACGACTTGGAGGATCCGGAATTCGCCGATGATATATGTCTGATTTCCCACAAACTGGAAGATATACAAGCGAAAAGCAACAAGTTGGCAGAAGAAGCATCCAGAGAAGATAGGAATTCAGTTGAACATAGAGAAAACAGGTCTAGGTGATGAAGATTCCTGGACAACACCACCAACAGCAACAACAACAGACAACGATCAGCATAAATAGGAGGAACCTGGAAGAAACAACTTCCTTTACCTACCCACTACCTACCTGGGAAGCATCGTTTCAGCTACAGGCGGAACTGAAGAGGATATCAAAGCAGCGGGGTTCGGAAAAGCAAGACAAGCTTTCACTACTCTCAAGTCTGTGTGGAGGTCAACAGACAGCAATCAGCATGAAAAATAAGATCCGGATTTTCAACTCCAATGTGAAGTCAGTCAGTGCCACTTGCTCTAAGCATCAGAGACTTCACTGCGCGTCATAAAGACCACCTCAAACAAACTACAGACCTCCATCAACAGCTATCTTCGCTCAATACTCAAGATCAGATGACCAGAAAAGTTCAGCAACAGAGATCTCTGGGAGCGAACCAACGAGGAACCGATTGTGAAACAAATAGGCAGGAAGAAATGGAGATGGATTGGCTGACCATACTCTGAGAAAACAAACCATTAAGTGACGTCACTAGACAAACCATTGCTCGAGTGGAACCCGACGGAATGGGAAGCGGCGAGTTGGTCGTCAGTGCAAGGGTGACTTGGAGAAGCTCATGTGAAGAGGAGATGAAAACATGTGGGCAGACTTGGAGCCAAGTGAACACTCTAGCAGAGAATCGAACGCAATGGAGACGCACGGCTGAAGCCCTATGTTCCTCTAGGAACTAAAGGAAATAAAATTAATAATAATATCATAGAATATGAATGAGTTGAAAAGCTTAATCAATGCAGAAATAACTCACCTTAGGCGGAACGAATGCATTTGCACCTAGTGCCTAAAATCAAAAAAAAGTTAAAATGTAGATTAGATGTGAGAATTAGAAACAAGGAGAGGTTACGTGTTGTCTAGACAACAACAAGTGTAATCGTTAAGCACTGACTGATGTGTGTGTGAAGAAAAAGACCAGGAGAAATCGGACAGCTGGTTGATTTCACAAATCCATCAGAGACAGGACTGCAGACATCCAGATAATGAGATAATATCGTGGATGTGTACTACTACTGGAGAGGACAAAACCAGTTGTCCAATACTCCCTGATCTTCAGTCATTCCCCAAATGATGTTGATTCCTTACAGCTGAACTATGTTACTTCGAAACCCTCAAGAAAAGGCACAATTTGAATTCGAGAAGTACAACTACAATACAACAAGGCGTGTGTGTGACTTAGTCATTGGGTGAAAATCTGTCAGCTAGGCAGTTGTCAGACTAATAATTATAATAATAATAATGACAAGTGTAATAAAATAACACAGACAGAATCAGTCGCTTGTATTCTTCACAACGCCTCGACCCAGTTGTCAAAATCTCAGGATGGTCGGGGGTGGGTGCCTTGCACTACGCGTTGGCCACCCATCCGCACACCTCTTCAAATGCTCCCATATGACCGGGCGTCTTACATAGCCTCTCCTGGGGAAGTCCTACTCACTGCCTTCACGTGGCGGAGGTGTTTTTCACCAAAGTGAGAGGGCGAAAGCGTATGCCCGGCGCTCTTCACCGGGTTGACTGTCCATTGGATGACAGTCTAGGGGAGATGGCTAAACCCTGATTCCAAACCTCCAACGACTGGAGTATGAAGCTCACTGGAGCTCACCGGCAGACGTATGGACAAAGGGCTTGTTGGATGTCTTGGATGTCTGGCCCCATTGAAAATGGCGTATGAACCGAACTCCGGTCACCGACTGCCAATGGATAGTGGACTCCTTACTCCACTCCTACTGCCTTGTAGGTCACACTTGGTTGTGTGAAGGCTAGAACTGCACTGTCAAACAAAAGGCCGAGCGATTCTGGAGACATTACTCGTACCAAATTCCCATGAAACTTCATGAACTCTCTTACAAACGAGGAGTGCCTGGGGCTACAAACCGTCTACGGACTCCGTATGTGGAACAAGAATTCGATAACCCTGTCGCAAAACCCTGCATCAGATCGCCGCGCCTGGGCAGCGATGATTCGAGATGTTCATGAAGCCGGCTCATCCTCCCGTAGGAGATAGCCGAAGTAAAGTAAGTAAGTAATGAAGTCGATGTATAGAATGCCGTTCAATTTTGAAGTGCAGTCGTCAGCTAAGGTACTAGACCGACCAATTTTTAACGTTGACTAGGAATGTGACTGTGGAGTATAGACCGAAAGTAGTAGTACATAGTCACTTTGAAGTTTAATGAATGAACACGTTAAGGAGGTGACATCGTTCGGTGGGCCATTGCTCGAGTGGGAGGCGATAAGTTCGTTGTGCGCTGATAGTTGGGGTGGCGGTGACATGAAGGAAACGAATGATTTTGAGTTGTGATGGGGTGAGATGAAGTGGACTGGACAGAGAACACGATGAAGTGGAGATGTGCATTGTGTGAAGCTGTATGTTCCTCTCAGAAACCAGTGGGAATAACAGTAATAATCATATTGATATTGTGATAATAATGAAGGTTAATCAGGGAATATCATGATGCACCCATTAATGCAATGTGAAGAAATAAGGAAAGTAGAAATGCCACTCATCTATTTCTTCTTTTAAGGCTAAAATGGCAGCGAAATTGTCTTCAATGAACGAAGTATTCCATATTGAAATAAGAAAAAGGCACAAACAGCGAAGAAAATTTTCTTTTCGACTATTCATTTTCATGAGCTGTACAATTGTAATTATGTATTTAACAAAGAAATCTTTAGACCAATCAGATACTGGGAAACTTTATCCTCGGATAATGTATTACATAATGTAAGATGTAACTTAGAAGGGATGACTAATTATATGTAAGTTAGAAAACAGGAGTAGAAGTTGGCATGACGTAATCTGTGTGAGATAATGACTATTCAATAAGCTCGTGTAGAATGGACAGGAACTAGTGGAAAGCCGATAAAGTGTTTTCATATAAAATCTGTATGAAAAAGCAATGTAATTAATAAACAGCAATAGAGTGGTAATGAAATATGGCTGATGGGAATAATAATGATAATAAAAGTATTAATAAAATAAAATAATAATAATAAAACAGTGAAATTACATAATAGAGAAAAGAAGGAAAATTGTAGTAAGAACTTTACTCTGGCCACGGTAGAGCAAGAGAATGTATGTATCGCTTTTGAATGCAGAGGTCCAGTTTCAGATCTCGAATAGCTAATGCTTCAGCTATGTACAGATGGCGTATCCGAAGTCCCTTTCTACGATATTGAGGGACTCTGTGTAACACTGTGAAGCATTCATGTGGGGGTGTTCGATGTCCAAAGATAACAAGGTGTTCGAAGATCGACCTGTGGCTATTATTCTTTTCTCCTCTAGCTAACAAACCTGGGCAGTGTTTCAGAATACGTTTGTGGAATTGACGTTGCGTACGGCCAATATACTTTGCTCCACACGAGCAAGTAAATTGATAAATACACATTGAAGTGGCCAAAAGCGGTATCTTGTCCTTAGCGTTAGACTGGATTAACTGTCTGCAGGAGAATGTGATACGTAGAGTGGCTGTTGGAAATGTCTTCTTCAGACATTTAGAAAGGCGGTTTCTGAGAATTTCCGCTGCGATATCACCTTTGAATTCTAGGTTCATGAAGGGAGTCTTCTTAGGAACATACTACACGAGCTTTTATTGATTAGTCATTATCTCACACTTATTGCGTCATACCAACTTCTGTCTCTCCTTTCTAGCTTTGAAATTGTCTTCGTAAATGAAAAAAATAAAAGAGACATTTGTTTATTTTTACCAACTGGGAGGAATAAATGATTTTAGGCGTTCCCTGACCTGACCTGGTTGGTGTAAACAGTAAGAATAATGGATGTTTGAGATAGCATCTGTATTCCTCATACATATGTCCTTAGATGACCTTCTTAATGTGTGTGTGTGGAAGACGTTCCAAGTATAGAACTTTTGCCTTGAGTCCCGCCCACTTTTAGTGTTCATGAGAATGGATCATACGAAATATATTATTATTATTATGAAATAAGTAGAGTGTATAGGCATCATGAATGTGATTCTGAATAATGTTGAACACTTTATGTCTGATCTGTGTGTGTGTGTGTGTGTGTGGGGGTGGATTAGTCCTCTGTCCTGCCATCTACTTTATTCGTCGTCGCCTCCTACAGCGCATAAACAATGAGAACAATAGAAGTTCATGTAATGAGGGAAAATAAATCAGTAGGTATATAGTTAGTCAGGAATAATAAACCAATGACGGTGAGGGTGTGTGAAAGGAAACAATAGAAATAAAGGTTAGAAGATTAGTTAGATTAAGAAAGAATGACCCAGAAAAAGTGAAGAATTTTCGTTTTGCATGTCTCCCTAGAAAAGAAAGAGAAATGGATTAAACACACATTGGATACCTTTCATATGTGAATGCATGTATGTCTGATTTTTGCAACAATAGGAAAACTAGAATTTAATTGGTGGATGGTGACTGACTAGCAGTGGAATCCAGTCCAGGATAACGCGCATTTCACCGGTCCTATTCGGGACTTGTCTGCCAGCTGGATGTACCTGCATTCCACAGTGAGTCAGCGATGATGTTCCCACCATGGAGACTCGAACCCAATGGACATAGTTTCAAACGCGAGTAAAAGCGTTATCCAGTAGACCACTTGGGCCATGTGAGCCACCTGTTGTGCAACGGGTCATATTAATTACCTAATTGAATTTTAGATTTTCCCGTCGATTGATTGAACTGAAGTGCTCGGTCTCAGGTTGACATGTCGGGAAAGTCTAAAATTGAAATAAATAATTCATATGACCCATTGCACAACAGGTGGTTCTCGTGGCCCAAGTGGTCTAGTGGATAACGCTTTGACTGGTGCTTAACACTATGGACACTGGGTTCGAGCCTCCGTGGTGGGAATATCATCATCACTGACTCACTGTGGAATGCAGGTACATCCAGCTGACCACAAGTCCCAAATAGGATGAAATGCTAGTACCACTCACCAATTAAATTCCAATTAAATTAAGTGCCCAGCCATTGTCGAAGCATCTGCACAAGAAGCCGACAGACAGGTCAACCTGAGACCGAGCACTTCATACCAATCAATCAATCGACGGGAGAAATCTAAAATTCAATTAAATAGGAAAACTGCTAAGAAAGGCCTCAATATTCAAGTGTTGGTTCGTAGGGATTTAATTGGTTACAGGATTTTCATCATGAGCTGACACCAGTTGGTTATAGAACCATTGGAAAACCCGCCACTGGGAGTACTGGACAGCTGTTTCGTCAGCCTAGTTTAGGACTCTTCAGCAGTACGCACCCAGCAGGTCGGGTGTGAGGACAAATACACCCCACCGAAGACATTGGCTAGTGCCAGTCGCGCTATGTCGTGAATTGACAGAAGTTAGAATTCATGCACTGGCTGGCCATTGGATCGGATCGGGTTCCAGTGGCTTAATGGTCTACGAGCTCGCCTTGTAACCGGAAGGTCCTGGGTTCGAACCCATGTGGTGGGTGCGCACTGATGAAGAGTCCCAAACTAGGCTGACGGAACAGCTGTCCAGTACTCCCTGCAGGTTTTCCAATAGTACTCTAACCAAATGATGTCAGCTCATGATGAAAATCCTGTAACAGCAAGCATATTTTGCATTCCACTGCTAACAATAAATGTGTGTGTGTGCGTGTGCGAGAGGAGAGATCAATCAGGCAGGAAATACTAAGCAGACTTTCATCAAACACCTGGCTTCCTCAGCTCTATACTGAAGGTCAGATAGCCAGTGAAAAGAGCTCTGGAAATGAAACAACCAACAGCCAACCACCTAATAAATATACCGAAGGGAGTGAAGATGGACTGAGGCAGACGCTAGAGAGACC